AATATAATATCTAATGAACTGATGTCTTTTGTTAAAGTACATAATTATATGTTCTTTTATCTCAAAATGCTGAATAATTTATGGTTCACTCAACTTTCATGAGTATATTTTACCATCACAAAAATATAGTTCTGTAAATGGATCTATATGTTGAAGAACTGTATTAATGTTCCAGTTTATTTATGCAATAGTAAGGTTAGGTGTAGTAAGAGTATCGAGATATCGTCAACAAAACTGACAAGATGTCTTCAGGTATGAAATATTGTGATATTCTTATTTGGAGTGATTTGTGATTTCTTCTTATCTAGGTTCAGATATATTACTTAGTATAGATAACTGTGCATGCATATATGTAAAATAAGATGTTTTACTCAAGACACATTGTAACACCGTTGATATTTATTTTGTTGTTATATTTAATGTGCATACTGCTGCATGATTCCATATAGTCGGAAAATATGCTTCATTCTAAGTAATGTCTTTACATGAATAAGCTATGAAGTTACATGCAACAAAGATTTCTCTCTGACGTTCAAGGGCATAGTTGATATATGACCTCTAATTACAAGTACAGCTGATAATTACTGCCTACAGTGATTCTGTTCATATTTTAAAGGTTCCCAAATAAAATATTGTTGAAGTATATATTACAGTAGTATGTGTCTAAGCCAGATAATTTAGACACATTGTGCCCATATGTAATTTTTATGAATGTAAAAGCTCAATATATTATCAAATTTTTAGAAATTCTGGTGTTTGTAATGCAACATATTATTGTACATTACTTGCATTTATTCACAATGGCCGCGCGGGCCTTGTGCTGCTTGGTCACTGGGACCGAGGGTTCGAATCCCACTCAAGCCATGGATGTTTGTCTGCGTTTTTCTGTGTTGTGCTGTCCTGTGTACAGGTAGAGGCCTTGCGACGGGCCGATCCCTAGTCCAAGGAGTCCTACTAACTGTCTATAGATCAAGCAAACGAAAAAGTTGGGACCCGCAGTGCTCAGGCACTTGAAGAATGTGTCGTTCCCAGTATCCAGTACTTGCATTTATACATTTCTGGATATTGCTTTAATATAGAAACAATGAATACACAATGTAATAATATTCACAAAAATCTTACAAAACAAAGTTTAATATTTAATTCAGTTCAATTCTTTATTGTATTTAAAAAGACCATTATTATAAATTTATACTTTAAATAGAGAATGACAGCACTTAAATACTTTACTTTGGTTCATGGACAATATTTATATTTCTAAAGATATGCTTAAACATTTGTCCATAATAGTAAAAATAGGTAAACCAGTCTGCATGCATAATGAGTACAGATTATTATAGCAATAAAATGTAGTTAGTAATTACAGTAGCTACTACCATATGTAATAGCCTTCCTGTACAAGGAGGTGGTATAGAGTAGTGACACAATGGGTACTTTTGACTGCAGATATAGTTTAAAGTACTTGGGTCATGTGAGAGTCAATCAGTATGCATTTGATAGTTCTAATCAAACAGTTTGATTTATTCGTATTCAGTCCTCACGTTTAATAACAGCTATCCCTGTACTACATTGAAAATACCTACAAATGTCTTTTGGAACATTGTAACGCTGCTGGAGAGAATTTCTATTGCAATTTTTTCTCACTCGTACGGGAAATTGTCTCAAAAGTAAGCAGATAACATCGATATGTAGGAAAACATGAGATGCTAAAGGATTAGTACATTTATTTTCTGACAGTTTATTAGCTGAATGACTAGAGTTTTGTTCGTGGCACAAGCAGAGTTAGGCTATTTATTTTCCTCTTTGCCGCTTCACCTGAACCACATCTGAGACCCACCCAGCCTCCTCTCCGGTTGGTACTGTGGACCTTTATCCCATGGATAAAGCAGCTGTAGCATTAAGCTGACCACTAACCTAAATATGTTGCTGAAGTTAAGAACAAACAGAATTTTACCTGCACCCCCTCTACGATGTGTTCGTGGAATGGAGAATAATTGTTAATTCTCATGTTTATGAATGCGTTTAATACTCTTCTAAGTGTGACTTGTATGAAAAGATAGTGTACTCCCAGTTACAAAAAAAATAATCTTTTTCTTGTGAAATAGTTACAGTTGCCAGAATGTAATGTGCTGAAAAAATATACGAGGTTAACTGAAGTCTAGAGGGGCAGTAAAATGCAGTGCTTCTAACATTCTAATGATGTTTATTTATGGGTTCTGGCATCATGTATTTTCATCAACAGAAGACAACATTTTAAATAAACAAGCTGTCTCCATTTTCAGGGCTGAAGTGGTAATATTATACAACCCTTTTTAATCCCTGCACTTCCCAGTTTCACCACTTCAGCCCTCCAATATGTCACCTACCAACAAATCTATATAATGCCATAATCCAGAAGAACATCATCGTTTTCACTGCCATGAAAACCTCAAATCTCAATATTCTGATTGACTCTTATTTTATCATGTATCTAGAAGAGAAAATTTAAAATATTAAATGTTCAGTTTAGACGTAGTATAATTATATAACGTTAGCAGTAGTAGTTTTATGCTGTATGTAATGAATCATTACAAACTGTCCTGTTGCTAGCATGTTACTTTAACACAGTTCAAGTAGGTATATAACTACATTTATTCATATGTTACTGAGATTAATCTGCATATTTATTTCATGCATTAGTTTTCATTTTATGAACAATATATGCTACACATTGAATTTTTTTTAATCCAAATTGCATCTTGTGACATGTTGTAGGTGTTAGTTAAATAATTTATGTCAGTTTTTGGACATTATAAAAAAATTCAAACATAAAGTAGTATACATTTACAATAATCTCCTTTGAAAAAACAGCTTATGAACTGATTAGTTCGTTCCAGCACATTTTATTTTGTTAGATCTATGAGTGTGTTTTCCTTAATCTAAGTAACCATACATTCTTGCTGTTCATCACCATAATACGTTTATTATGACATCATTATCAATTGCATACTATTCTTAACAGTCAGCCATGAATCAAATAATTAATTACAGAATCTTAATATTTCGTTTATTCACTTTTACTTTACAACAATGCTGTCACTACATCAGACTTTAACGCCACGGTGGTCTAGCGGTTAGAACGCTGGCCTTGTAATCCTGGGATCTCGGGTTCGATTCCCGGCGGTTCCCGAATTTATAACTTGTGTTGGGCAAGGCCGTGGTCTAGGCAACACGTAGGTTTCCTCCGGGGGCGTCCCCGGTTTCTCCGTGGCATCCCAACAATTACTCCATTCACACACAGAAGAAGGCAATGGCAAACCACTTCTGGATCATCTACCAAGAACGTATATGAACAGGTCCCAGTCCGAGAAAAGGATGGAAGGATCCTGTTCATATGGACCTGTCATCAGACAGAACACTAAATAAAAAAAATACATCAGACTATATAGTATCAAATGTGATTAATCATTTTTCTTGATGAACTGAGGAAACCCATGAAAAACCTCAGTTAAGATAACTGGCCTCCAGACCGAGATTTGAACCCGGAACCTACCATATGAAGTAGGAATATTAACCACTCGGTCGCAACTTTAGGCTTGTTCTAAATCATAAATCATGGGAAATGGTTCAACCTAAAGACAGAACCTTAACATTATTTATTAGTAGTTTTAAAACAATAGAGCCTCGAATTTAAAGGTGCCAAAAGCTATGTACCCCGGAAATAAAGTGGTCGGAGTGTGAAACCACTCACCCACATCCAGTGCCATTGAGCTTTAGACTCGTGTCATAGTAATCAGTGAAGACATATATTTCTTTTACTTATTGAACTAACATTCAATTATGAAATATGTTTCGTCGTTTAAACAATTCTGCTACTTCTTCCTTTGAAATACGTAGCGCTACATAAACCCACAAGGTTTTGAGCTTATGCATTAGCCAACATCTATTCAGTATAGGCCAGCTTTCCCGATATTGCCCACAACTCCAAGATATCTAAAAAGATAATAGTAAAACTTCGTGTTTTCTTGTGCTGTGTCCTGTCATCACATCCACCAGCTTTATTAATGATCCAAAGAAAGTAAGAAGTTAGCAAGGATGGATGAAACGATCACATGATAACTCGCTGGTGCCTTACTGACAGTCTTTGTTGATTATTATTGATCATTGACAGGAACGATTTCTAAGGCGAAATTGGAATGGACTCAGAATTTAATTTCTAATGAAATGCATTATTGTTGTGCCTTCATCAAAATCCCACCATTTTGTTCAAAGTTTTGTGGACCTACTTAATGTTCTTAAGCTACAATAACATATCTAATCAGTGTTATGGCTATCTAAGTTGATTTTGACCTCAGTAAATCAAATTCTGGTTTTAAGATGGCTGTCCTCCTTGTCGACGTTGGCAACTTCTACCAGACTACACGGAGTTACAACCCAGAAGACAGCCATCTTCAGACTTACCACCGTTGAAACCTCAAATCCTAAATTCTAGTTTTGTTCACAGTTGGTATAATTTTTTCTCATTGGCTGATACCAGAATATAATTCTTAATTATGTCCAGCTTTTAGTTTAAAAAAAATAAAAATGTTTAGCTTCTATCACAATCACAATGTTTTGTTGTGTGTAACTAAACCATATTGATAATTATAATTATGGTAACAATAACAACAATGATGATGATTATGATAATAATAATAGCTGCAGAGCAAGATTAAATGCTGTTCACCCGTTCCCATTGCAGAGAGAATAAGATAGGAAGACATTTTCATTGTTGTGTGTTCATTAATTCTTATGAAATCAAAAGTGTTGTTTGTTCATGTCACTCCCCAGTAATTAAAGAAGATACAGAGATAAGTAATTGTCATGTAGTGTATTTTACCTTTAATATCCTCAAAAAGGAACTTATGGGCTGTATTCCATAATTGTTTTAAGATGCCCCAGCCCTGTATGTAAATACTTCCCTATGTGCATATGCAGAATTCTACTCGGGTTAATCGTACTTCATTTCCTTTAACTTACAGACTCCGATGCCTGATTGCAAGTCACTGGAGAATTCCCAGAGACATTTAGACGACCTTATTGAGCACAGGTGCAGGCAGCTGGGCAAGTCTGGAGAGAGCAAAGGCAGTGCCCTGCATCTGGCACAATGGATGAGAGGACAGCTGGGGGGCGCATCCATGACACCTGATGATGAACCAGAACCTGAAGTCTGGTCGCCAGAGACCCTGAGACGCCACGGTGAGCAGCTGCAGATCATGGCTGTGAGGAGCGACAGCAAGTGTGAAGAACTGGAGATGTCGGACATGGAACGAAGTCAGTCGCGGAGTACGGAACGCAGCAGGTCACAGACATCGTCTGACAGCCAGGTGCTTAGTAATAACAGCAAATGATTCTGAAACATGAGAACCACTTTTTTTTTTATTTTCACAGTATACGTGAGACACTTTTTGTAAATTATCACTTAGAGAATCCTAGAAAGTTATTTTAGTGTCAAGGCATTTTATTATGTGATGTACTGAGCATGGCTGAGTCATTTCTCATTATGATAAACAATTAACTGTTCCTGTCATATAGTTAGTAGGCCAAAAGAAGTGGGATCCTTAATCCTCAATTTCATATACATTTATATAATCACAAGAAAATTTAAAGAATAGGTTGGAATAGAGTTAATATGTTGGGAGTAATTAAATACATTTAAAAACTATCCTCAGAGACAAGATAATTGATAAGCTCGAGATATAGACCCAATTTAGACCGACGGTATAATAAGGTGGTGAAATGTTATGTCTGTTGCATAACTATTGGAGCAATGAT